CCATGCCAGGGAAGGAGCAGTCCTGGGGGTGCCATGGTTGCCACTGAGAAGGTGCCCAATGGGAACCTTGAGCTGATGACTGTGGGAGGGCTAGCCTCACTTTAAGAAGAGCCTCTGTAGATAAAGAGCACAAAAGGTGCTGGAACAAGAGAATGTGGTTTTCAAAGCTTAGTCTGGAGTCAAACCGGCAGCACACAAGGACAGCCTCAAGGCAAGCTGGAAAAAGCACTGTTCCACCCCCCCCCCCCTTCAATCCAGTCCTAAGGAGGTCCCTGGAGTGAGCTCTCTACAGGTCTTCCTCTAGGCTACTGTTGGGTGGGTCTGCTCAGGTTAATTTACACCTGCCTGACACCTTAAAATTCACTCTATTTCCATTTTCTCCTCACACTTGGTGTACCTCACATAGCATGTTTTTTTGGGGAGACTGGGTCTCCTCCCAGTCTTGGTTGGAAGGCTGGAAGCGCAGCAACTCTCCCAGGCCTTAGGCCTCAGACCTCAGACCTCCTAGGGGTGCCTTCCAGGGGCTTGTCCGGTGTGTGCTTTATCAGAATCTCAGAGCAAGAGTGCCAGCCTGGGCCTTTGCAGGGATAGCGCTTTGTGCACAGAGCACGGTGCCTCACGCAGCATTTTTCAATTTTCCTTCCCGAGTAACTCTTCCTCATCTGCCCCCTAAATGGGGCTTTTCCCCCAAAGGGCTTCCTAGTCAGGGTGATCCCACTGATTCCCAAGGCTTCAGTTTTACTTTTTACCTAGGATGATTCTCAAAACCTTATTTCCACCCCAACTTCCTCCAACCCCACATTTACAACCCCCAATTCCACATTTTTTTCTTAATTTATTTTGATTTATCAACAATCACTTCCATATGCTTTTTGAGTTTAAAATTTTTCTCCCCCTTCCTCCCCACCACCCTCCCCAAGACGGTGCACAATCTGATACAGGCTATACATTTACATTCCTATTAAACATTTTCACATTAGTGATGTTGCAAGCAAAAATTAAAACCAATAGGAGGAACCATCAGAAAGAGGAAACAAAACTCAACAGAAGAGAAAAAAAACCCAGCAATTCAACTTCCATTGTTCTTTCTTTGGATGTGGATAGCATTTTCCATCACAAGGCCTTTGGAGATGTCTTAGATCCTTGTATTGGCGGGAAGGGTTAAGTCTATCAATATTAGTCATCACACAACGTGGCTGTGGCTGTTACTGTGTACAATGTTCTCTTGGTTCTGCTCACTTCACTCTGCATCAGACCACACAAGTCTTTCCAGGTTTTTCTGAAGTCAGCCTGTTCATCATTTCTTATAGCACAATAGCATTCCATCACATTCATATACCACAACTTGCTCTGCCATTCTCCAATTGATGGGCATCCCCTTAGTTTCCAATTCATTGCTACCACAAAAAGGGCTGCTATGAATATTTTTGTACATGTGAGTCCCTTTCCCATTTGTATGATCTCTTAGGGATATAGCCAATTCCACATTTTTTCTTTTTTTTTTTTGTTTTTAGGCAATTGGGGTTAAGTGACTTGCCCACGGTCACGTGTTTGGTCTGAGGCCAAATTTGAACTGAGGCCCTCCTGACTTCAGGGGCAGTGCTCTATCCACTGCGCCACCTAGCTGCCCCCAATGCCACATTTCGAAAAATGAAATCTTCATCTTCCCCTAAGATTTTGCCCCTCTGGCTTTGGGAAGTCAGGTACACAAATACTCTCTGTTGGCAGACCTGCGAATTAGCTCAAGCACTCTGAAAGCACTTGGAATTATGCTAAAAAAAAAAAACCAGTACTGTCTTCTGCACTCCAAAGAGGTCAGAGACAGAAAGGCCCTATATTCCAAACATTCATAGCAGCCCCTGTGAGTGCTGGAAACAGAGAGAACTGGGAACAAAGACTACGTCCATCAATGGAGGGCTGGCCAAACAAACGACAGAGAGAAAGGGAACAGAGTACGACAGCACCATAAAAAACAATGAACATTAAGAAGACGAGAAGGCCTGGAAGTCTGACACGGGCCCATGCACCAGGAAAATATACACAATGACTACAGTAAAGAGAAAGAACAATGACAAGCACCCACAACACTGCACCCTGTGTAATTACAAAGACCTTCCGAAGAGGTGAGAAAGTGTGCCCTGCTGCACAAGTGCCAGACTCTGCCAGACAGAGCTAGTACAGGCCTGGTGCTGAGGAACTCCTTTTTTTATTCTTTGTCATGAGGGATGGCTCTATGGGAGGAGAGGAGGGATGGATAACTCGATGAAAAACGAATGTCAATAAAAATTTAAAAAATGGGTAACCAAGCTCCAGCACACACACAGACACAGACACAACCCAAGGCCGGGCCTCTCGCCCTCTCCCTGCAGAAATCCTGTCTTTCCTTTGAGGCTCAGCTCAGGTGCTGCCTGTTTCATTAGTCTTCCCAGATCTTCTCACCTTACGTGTGATCCCTCCCCCTTTGAAGGTCTCTAGACTCTTCGTGACTTCTCTCAGGTACTTAACATTTTAACTCCTATGACAATTTTCTCTGCCTATATTTTATCTGCACAGGTAGGCAAGGATCGCTGTATCACAGACAGAGCTATAAGGAAGCTCAACGTCTCCATTCTATAGATGAGGAAACTTTGTTTGGCCCAGGGAGGCGAAGGGATTGGCCCAGGTCACAAAGGCGGCAAGACTCAGAGAAGGAATTTGAACTCAGATCCCTTCATTCCAGTTGTCGCTCTCCCCAACATACCATTTACCAGCTCCCAGGGAGGACCCTCCCTCCCTCCCCCTCTCCTCCATGGCCTTCTCCATCCATTCATTGCCAGCCTCACCTCCTCACTGGTCTCCATGTCTCAAGTCCCTCCTCTCTCTGATCATGCTCCAAATGCTGCCAATGGAATCATCCCAAACCCCAAGCCTAACCCTGATGACCCTGCCGTGCACCATACGCCCCTGTCACTAAGACTTCCAGGATCATGCAGACTTCTTTGCTTGGCATTAGTAAAGGCCTTGTCTTCACGGAGACCTGAGATTCTTCCTAGCTGTGTGACCCTGGGCAAGTCCCTTACCGATGCCCGCCTCAGTTTCCTCACCTAAAAATGGAGACAACAGCAGCATGTACCCAACAGGAACTTAGTAAGAGTCAAAGGAGATTAGTCCAGAAAACAGCACTAACTCTGGGGCGGGGAACTGTGGCCTCAAGGTCCACAAGTGCAGTCCTTTGACTGAATCCGCATTTCACACAACAAACCCCCTTAATAGAAGAATTTGTTCTGTAAAACTTGGGACTCAGCCAAAAGGCCGACCCCAACGCCCCAGAAGGCCACACGGGGCCTTGAAGCCAGCCACAGGTTCCTCCCCCTGCCCCGGAGAATGTTAACTGCCCACTCATTCACAAACTGGCCCCAACCTCCTGGGCTCGGCTCATCGCGGGTTTCTCCCTCCCTGCAGCCTTAGATCTAGCTCTTCCCGCTGGTCTTTGGGTCTTCCTTGCCCACACCTGGAAGGCACAACTTCCTCACCTCAGAATCGCAGCTCACTCGACTCCTTTCGGGAGCCTTTCTTGATCCCATCAGCTAAGGTCCCACACCCCTCAATACTGGCTTGGGGAGATCCAATGGAAGCTTCTTGAGAGCAGACTTTTTTCGCATCTCATTTCCCCAGCGTGCAGTACAGTGCTCAGCACCCAGCCTGGCACTTACAAGTGCTTGGTGATTGATTTATGACAACCATTTTCTTCTTTCCTTACTGATTGCTCTTCTCCCCAGTACTAACAGTTGTAAGCCTTCCCTTTCCTCAAGCCCCAGATCTCATTCCTCTCATCACAGAGGCAGCCTGGCGACTCTGTGGGGTTCAAATGCGGCCTCAGACACTTGCAAGTTGTGTGACCCTGGCAAAGGCCAGGCAGGTGTCATCATCACCCTCACGTCACTGAGCAAGCAGAAGCCACTTGTCCCACGTTCCCTTATTTTCCCTACCCCCCCCCCTTTCCTCCAGTCTTCAGGGAGGGGATGGCCCTTCTTGCCAAGAGCCCCCTGCTCCCCCCACTCTCTCACGGGATCTAACTACGTCCTCTTTAGAGGTCAGCAGTCCTCCAACTTTGTCTCAGAACCCTTTCACCCCCTTAAAGCTAAGGGACCCCCTCGAGAATTTTTGTTTACCTGAGCTCTATCGGTGTCTGCCACATTAGGAATGGAGACCTTTTAGTCAGACCCCTGAAAGGCTCTGGGGACCACACACTGTGATGAGGGGCTCAGACAGAAAGGCCACTACAGAGTAACACCGCCTGTGTCCTACCCACCTTCACGGATCCTGGGGACGTGCCAGGGGCTCCTTCCCGGCCCCGGCCCCGGCCCCGGCCCCGCCCCCGTCTGTGTGCGCAGCGCCCCCTGATCGGGGCGCCCAACCGACATCAGACCGGACCCAAGTCCGGACAAGAAAACACGACACGATGCCACGCGTGGCCGCCCTTTGGTGGCCCTGCTTCTTGCAGTGTGGCACTGTGGCACGCGTGCTCTCGTTACACGTGTGGGCAAACTGAGCCAAGATCATTAAGCGGCTGGCAGGAGCTCGCCCCAGGACCCCCGTCCGGCCGCGGCCTGGGGGGGGGGCCCCCGCAGCCGGTCCCGCCCCACGCGTCCTCTGGGAGCGGCCCGAAGCCGTCCCTCCCCCACGCCTCCGGGGTAAGCGAAAAGGACCCGCGCCAGGGCCGCCCCACCCCCCGCCCGGTCGCAACCGGCCGGAGGCCTGGAGGGGGGCTCGAGACCCACCGTTACGGCGCGTCCCCCGGCTCGAGCCCGGCGCGCGCGCCCCCGCCCGCCGTACGCGTCCCCGCCGCCTCAGGGGCGCCATTCTCGGCTCGAGGCGCGCCCCCGCCGCCCGCACCCGAGCGTTCCACCGACCCAGAGGGCTGGGGGCTCGGTCTCCTCCCCACCCCACTCCCCGCCCCAGGCCCCGGCCACTCCCCAGGGCTCACGGCTCCCGCCTACGGCCCGGGCCCTGGCACTCACCGATGTACGATTTGCCTTCGTCCGCCATGACGAGCCGGGGGACGCCAGACACCGGCTCTGACAAACGACGAAGCCCCTCGGCCGCTCGGGGCTGCTCCGCGCCTGCGCCTGTGCCTCAGAGCGAGCCACCGCCCCCCCCCCCGCCCCCCACGCGCCTGCGCAAGCCCCCGCCCCCGCCCCCGCCCCGGAGCCGGCCTCCACGCGCCGCGGGACTGGCTCGGAGCCGCGACGCGGAGCAGGACGCAACAATGGAGCTGGGGCACGCCACGCCTGCGCACACGGCCCGGGAAGAGCGGCGCGGCAGGAAACCGAGATGCGCCTGCGCCTGCGCGTCCCGCCGGGGAAAGGGCTGGGCTGACGCAGCAGCTGGTCCCTCCTCTCAGGCCCCGCCCCGCCCCGCCCTTCCCTCGACATCTGGGAGCGCGAGTGCCTGGGCCCACCCTCTCGGATTACGGCCCGCGGGGGAAACTGAGGCAGCCCGCTGAGGCCTCGCTATCCCTTTCCCTTAAGTCACTGACTGGCCGAGTGATCTTGGACCTGTCAATCAGTACGCACCTAGTTAGCACCTACTGTGTGCCAAGTACCCGGCTAAGCACCCGGATTACACAGACAAGAGTGACATTGTACTAGCCGTCAAAGAACTTGCATTGGAGGCAGCGGATGGCTGGGCCCTGATTCAGGAAGCCTGAGTTCAAATTCAAGCTGTGTGACCCTAGGCAAGTCACATCACCACACTCTGCCTCAGTTTCCCCTTCTGTAAAATAGGGATAATAATATGCCCACCTCCCAGGGTTGTTGTGAGGATCAAGTGAGATTTGTAAAGCACTTTGCAAACCTTAAAGCGCATAAATAAATGCTAGTCATTATTATAAAGGGCAAGAGCTGAATCAGGAAAGGCCTCCTGTGGAAAAGGGTGCTTGAGGGGAACAAAGCTGGAGAGACTAAAGACCTGAGTTGCGTGAGAAACCGAGGGTCACGTATGAGGAGCAGGAAAGGCCAACTTGGCTAGACAGTAGCACACAAGGCAGGAAGGATGCTATTAAGACTGGAAAGGGGGGCAGCTAGGTGGCACAATGGATTCAGGAGGACCTGAGTTCAACCCTGGACTCACACGTGACACTTAACTAGCTGTGTGATCCTGGGCAAGTCACTTAACCCTGATTGCCTCCCCCCCCCCCAAAAAAAGACTGGAAAGGCAAGTTTGGAGCCAGGTTGTGTGAGGCTTCGAACATGGAACAGAGAGGCTCCCATTTGATCCCAAAGGTAATGGGGACCCACTAGGGTTTATCGAGTGTTGTCAAAGGGATTCCCCGGGCAGCTGTGTGAGTGCAGGGGAGCAGGGAGAGCTGAGGCAGGGGAACCCAATAAGGAGGCTGGCTATGACATAAAGTGATGAGGTACAGAGCTAGACATGAGGTGTGCTGGTAGAATTGGCAAGATCTGGCACCTAACTGGCTCCATGGGAAGTGAGGGGCGGTTAGGAGTGGGGGTGATTCCGGATTTGAGAACCTGGTTTCAGCTCTATAGAACAAAAGGCCCTCCCAGGATAAGCCCAGGTGACTGAACTCATCACCTCCCTGCTGACTGGAGCCTCGCTTAATACAACTTCCTCAGCATCCTCTCGCCTCCGACTGGAGGTGGCCCTGCAATCTCCAGTTACAAGATGTCCCTTCACCCAGGCACCCCCTGGTGTCCCCTCCCCTCCCCACGTTCCAGTCTACTTCTGTGTGTGTTGTCTTCTCTCTTTAGAGCGTAAGGTCCTTGAAGGTAGGGACTGCCTTTTTTCTTATTTGTAGCCCCAGAGCTTAGCTCAGTGCCTGGCACATAGTAAATGTTTAATAAATGTTTATTTAATGTAAGTGAACTGAAAGGTTGGTACTGCACTCAACAAAAACTGGACATTTTGGAAGAGGGGCAAGTTGTGTGTTGGGGGGGGTGGGTTAGGGCTGATGAGTTATTTTGGACAAATAGGCAGCTGGTGATGTGGTATTGGAGTTCTGTCCTCAAATCTAGGTCTGCCTCCAGGATAACTGTGCAAAGAAAAGGAGGTAATGGGTTGATAAGGTTACCTTTTGTACCGAGAGGAGGGCCCAGAAGGAGCCTTGGGGCTCAGATAGGGATGATGGTCCAGCCAGGGAGACTTGGCATGGAAGAGGTCAGACAGGTAGACAACCAAAAACCTAGAGAGGAAGGAGGCTAGAGAGAGGAAAGGTGGCTAAAGTGACAGGTCCTTCAAAGAAGTAAAGATGGGATGAGGGTCAAGAAAAAGCTCTCTGGCAGTTTCAGTGGATGAGGTTGGAAGCCTGATGGGAAAGGGGAGGAGAGGAACAGGAACGCTGCCCATAGACAGCTTTTTAAGGGATGGGCATGTGTGTAGGCAGGAAGGTCAGAGATGAAACATGGGGGGGAGGAATGTGAGGAGGAGGGCGATCTGCTGGAAAGGAGTTAGCCTTGGTGAGAAGGGCCACCTCTTAAAGAAGAAAACGAGGGATGACGTCAAGGTGTTGTGAGATTTTGAGAAGGGGAGGAGAGCGCTCAGGGTCATACTTGATGTGGGTCTGGTGCAGGAGGGCTACTGTGGGGAGGGACGCTGAGGGCCAAGTCAAGATGAGGCAGCAGCAATTTCTCTGAAGAGATTCTGTACTATGGGTTGCTCCATACCTGCCCAGTAGCACCAGGAGAGGAAGCTGGCAAGAGCAAGGCGGAGGAAGGAGCGGGCACAGTGTGAGGGCACCCGGCACAGGAGCTGAGCTGCTTAAAGATGGCTTGTGATTGGGAAGCCAGAGGACAGACGGCCTGGGGAATTGCTGAAGGATAGGAGAGATGGGCCGTCACAGGGAGGACAACACAGAGAAACAAGTCTGGCACAGGAAGGAAACCAACATTAAGTGCCCACTGTGTGCTGTCCTGAGGACTTTGTGAACAGTGCAGGGAGACAGGTGCTGTCATTATCCCTCATTTTATGGCCAAGGAAACCGAGGCAGAGTGGTCACATGTCTAGTAAGTAGCAGAAGCCAGATTTGAACTGGGGTCTTCCTGATTCTAGGCCTATCCCCCTATCCCTGACAGGACAAATTACAATCAGATAAAGGAATTTCAGAGTTCGTAATTAGAAAAGCGGGTCACTTGTGGGCGGTGGCCTGATCGAGGTGAAGGTGACTACTGAGTAGGCCAGAGGAGCTGGGTGGCCAGGGCTGTTTGTGGGAATGTCTCTCAGTCCAGGGCAGGAGGTGGGAAATAGAGGGAGAGGAGGGCATGTCGGGCACTGAAAGTCTTGACCAAGGAGGGAGAAAAAACTCAGTCTGGGTGATGGACTCGGGATACAGCAGGACTCAGCCGAGAACTCTGGGAGGGCAAAGTGGCTAAGTAGAAATGTGCAATGAGGGTATCCCAAGCTCCCCCCTGCCCCCAGTATGTTGGAAGGAAGATCAAGAGACGGTCGATCAGTGCTGCAAAGATGGCCCGGGATGCTGTGCCACAACAGGGGAACTTAAGTTTCAGCAAGAAAATGGGAAAAGCTGGAGAGGAAGAGGTCTATGTCAAATAAGGGGAAAATTAATTAAGGAACCGAGATTCCAGAGGGCACAATGGATGGGGTGGGGTGGCCACCCAGGGCCCAGCACACAACACGGGTTTACTTGTTGACTGAGCCATGGACTGATTGATTGCTTGGCTGCAGAACAGGAAGGGTGGGAGTGGTTGGCCTGAGGCGGTGGTCTACTCAGCATCATTAGGACTGGGAGGGTAAGTGGCAGTTGGGGTGGATGGGAAGCCATGGCAACCTCACCGGGTGGTTGGAATTAGGGTCAAATGAGCAAATGTGTTGTGCCAACTTATGCACTGTAGAAATGTCGGTATTTATTGACTTGCCAAGGTCACATCAGTAGTAAGGGAGGCGAGTGGGGATTCAAGCCCAGGCTTTCTAGCACTCTGCCCACTAGGCCCCCCGGCTCCTCCTCCATCCATCCATCCTCCCTGAACTGGAATCCCAGCCCTCCCAGAGCCAGTTGTCTCTGGTAAGGCCTGCAGCCTCAGCTAAGCCAGGGAGCCCCGGGCCTTCCAGGGCTGCTCCTCCACAGTGGTCTCACTAGGATGGGCCAAAGCTGCCAGCTCAGACAGTGACCACTGTCTGCAAAGCCCACTTGGGCAGGGAGCATTTCCTAGGGCTTCCTAATCAATCTCAGCATTTAGGCAGGCCAGGGGGCCCAACACATTCTCGCTGACTTGATGCCCGCAGTCCAGCGCTAGGCGGCAGACAGCTGACTAGCCACAGGGGCTCTGCCAGGAGTGGAGGCTCCCCGACAGCCCGTCTGCCTAGTCTGCAGCAGGAATCAGAATCGTGTGACTGCCAAAGCCACCAGAGGGATAATCGCCACACCTCCCCTGGCAGTGGGCAGGCCACGGATGGAAGATTCAGTCCCAAGGCCTCGAGGAAGAGTCTGCTTGGAATGTAGAGAAGAGGGGCCCTGCGGGGGCTGAGGCTGCTGCTGCAGGCCGGCTGTCTGCCCCTCTGGCAGGGCCCCCTCACTGCCTGAGGTGGTGCCTGGAGGGGGCAGTGTGATCCCTGCAAGCCTCCCTGGCCCTGGAGAGGAGATCACAAGCCCTTGGCACCCTCTGCCTCCCATCCAGCGGTTCAAGGAAGAAGCACTTCCGATTCCAAGCCCATTTGTACATATTAGCTCAGCGTCTCCCACTCCCCCCCACCCCCCAGGCTGCTGCTAGGTTAGGGTCAACGGCAGGGTCCCAAGGGGCAGGACCACCAGCCCTATCAACTAGGCCATCCCCCAGTCTGTCAGAGCCAGCACCCTCAGTCTCCTGGGGTCACTACCCCCGGGGGAGGCCAGGCCAACCCCTGCGGCGCCCCTGAAATGAGGACGAGGCCAGAAGGGCTGACCATCTTGCTGTAATTCCACGAAATGGGGACGACAGTGCCTTTGGCAAATTGACACAGTCATTAGGAGCCGCCGTTGGGGGTTCTGGGGCCCTCCGGCCCCCCCACAGTGAAGACTGGGGGAAGAAGGGCAAAAGGTCCAACCCCGAGGAAAAAGCGGCCCCTTGGGTTCATTTCCCCTCCTTTCCCCTCGTGCACATCAGTGATGGAGCAGCCTTTGGAACAGGCCTGGGCTGGTCTATACAAAACTTCCCCTGCTGTGCAGGCACTGCCCCTCGCCTCCCACCCATTTACAGCAGTCCAAACCCACGTGAGTTTGGGCCAAGGAGAGGAAGGGCAGAGGTGGGGAGGGATCACAGGGCACAGGCTGTCTCTATCAGTCCCAGGAAAACAGAGATGGCCTCCTGCCCTTCTCCCAGCACCCCAGACAGGCTCAGCTGCAGGGGCCCCTGAAAGGAACGATTCCCATCTGGGCTGCCTCGACACAGGGAAGGCTCAGGCGAGGAAGACCACAAAAATGATGAAGAAAACAATGAGGATGAGGAAGATTTTGACCATGAGCCAGCGGTTGGAAGTGACAGACTGGAAATATTTGAGGATCTCCGAGTGGGCGGCCTCGACGTCCAGCTGTGCTCCCAGCACGTTCTCGTCAATCCTGGGCGGCAGTGGGGGAGGGCAGAGAGAAAGGAAGCAGAGACACGGCCAGATTAATGACGAGAAGTGTTGGCGCGTTGGGTCTCCAGACCCAACAAGAGCAGCTCCCGGGGGTGGGGCCAGGTGTGTCGGTGCTGTGGGCAGGGGAAGGCCTGTCTGCCAAAGGCAAGGGGTGTGGGTGGGTGGGTGGGTGGCCTAGGAACAACAGAACGGGCAGCAGGAGGGGCCTCCACAGGGCCAGAGCTCACGCCCCACTCTTCCCAGCTGTGTGACGTGACCCCAGGTGCTGAGCCCCAGCCCCCTCCGCACGACGGGGACAATACCGCACGCAGCACCCTCCTCAGAGGGCTGTGGGGACAAACGTCTCACAGAAACGCCAGCATCGTTAACCAGCTTCGTCTGGGAAGGGGGAACCTCCCGAGGCCCTACCCCCCCACCCCGGCCACTCGTGGCTCTGCAGCACTGACTCCTCATCCACATCGTTCTTGGCATTGACACAGAGCGCTCTTTTTAAAGGTAATTCCATGTATCTTCTCATATGCCTGTCTCAGGGATAACCAGAGCAGGACAGATGCTTTCTCCTTCATTTACAGATAAAGAAGGGAGGTCGGAGAGCAGGTGCATTGCCTCAGACCACTCACTGGGATCGAGATGGGCACCAAGGCCTCCCACTGACCCCCTCCCCTGCCCCCTGCCAGCCTTCTCTCACCCTCCTCACATCACGTCCTCCGTACGTGAAGGGCCCAGAAAGACTGCCATCTGTCCCCTGGATGGCTCCAGGAGAGGAGAAGGGGTACACGGGGTACAATGGCGATGTAACAAACCCAACATATCAATTAAAAATAGTATCTTTACAGCTTAAAAAACTTGAAAAGGACCCTGGAAACCTCAACCCAAACTCCTCCTTTTCTGTCCTTCTAGAACAGAAGCCCCTTAAGGGCAGGGCCCCCAGCATCCAGGAAGTGCTCAATCACTGCTCACCAACTGGCTGCTGGCGCTGCTCCCCGGGGAGCCCCAAACGTCCCAGCCAGCTCTTAGCTCCTCCCCACCCCGAGCATCCTCCTTCAAGGGCATGCCTTCGGGCCCTCACATTAGCCTGTGGAGCTGACCCATCACGCCCCCAGAACCAGGGCAGAGCACCGAGAACTGCCCTCCCTCTGTCGTCCTGGATGCTGCGTGCTCGAAGGCACTTAAGAGACACGCTTGTCAGACTGCGGCCCGTGGATAGCTTTCAGGGACCCACAGGCTGGGACAGGGAGGAAATACATCTTTATATTTACTGACCTCAAAACGAAACTGAGTATAGTGTTCCCCTTCCCCATCGGGGGGGATTCAGGGTGCAGCACCCTCCCTTTGTATCGGAGAAGGAGTCTGAATTTTTCTTTCTTTTTGTGGGGTTTACGGTACCTCACCGTGAAATTGGAGGTGCTGTTTGACAGCACTATACACGTATTTTATGCACTTTGCAGTTTCTAAACTTCCTCTGCCTCGTCTGCTGGCCTTCACGTGTCGTCTGTGGCTTCCTCAAAACTCCCCCAAAATTCCCATTTAATTTCTTTTTTATTTTATTTTTTGGCAATTGGGGTTAAGTGACTTGCCCAGGGTCACACAGCTAGTAAGTGTCAAGTGTTTGGTCTGAGGCCGGATTTGAACTCAGCTCCTCCTGACGTCAGGGCCGGTGCTCTATCCACTGCGCCACCTAGCTGCCCCCCCATTTAATTTCTTACACAGACCTAGGATAGATCAAAACTGGGATGGGGAAGTTGCAATGTGGAAAGGATAACTAGATTTCCTTCAATTACTTAAAAACCCCGTTCTGAAAAGGGGACTCCCCAGGACACAAAATGGCGTGGATGGCCTTCCAAGACTGTCCAACCTGGCTCAATTCAGATTGCGAGCCCTCATCCTAAGCCCCGCCCCAGGCCCAGAGCCTTACCGCTGGATGGTTTCCTCCTGTTCCTTGACCATGTGTGCCAGCTGCTGGAAGATGGAGCCCAGCTCCACGATGGTAGACTCGATGTTCTGCATGGTGTCTGCCCTGCTCTGGATGTAGGAATCCTGCCAGGGAGAAAGCAGAAGGATGGCCGGACATCAGCAGGCTTCCGTGGACCTTCCAGAGGACCCCAGCTCCTCTTCGTCTGCTCTGGATCGCCCAGGCTTTCAGGGGCGTGGGGGGGTGGTGTGCTCAGGGGAGCGGGTCTGACCACCTGAACCATCTGTGCCCTGCACATCTGACTAGCAGAACGGGAGCTCCTGTTCACATCTCTGGCTCAGAGCTGGCTCTGATCAATGACTGTGGGTCTACTGAGAGGCTTGCTGACCCTGGGCCCAGGCCTGGGCACCCACCCGCTCGTCAATCAGCTGCAGCTGCTGGCTGGTGCGGGAGTCCACCATGTCAATGGCCACATCGCCTGCAGCCCTCGGCTCAGCTCCCAACACCGCGGTCCCGCCTCCTGTGGGAAGAGAAAGAGGCTGAAAGCCAACTCAACAATTTCATCTTTCACCTGCACGGGCTGGGTAACCCTGGCAAATCACTTCACCTGTTTGCCTCAGTTTCTTCAACCATAAAATGGGGATAACAGCACCTACTTCACAGGGTTGTTAAGAATCAAATAAGGAAATAATTGTATAGCCCCAAACACAGAGGGGAAATGCTCCTTCCTTTCCCTTCCCTGAAGTACGAGCATCTGGGAATACAAAGAAAAGACCCCCACTGGGCCTGCCCTCAAGGAGCTGACAGTCTGTGGCGGGAATCTCACATGGCCAGGTAGGGGTACCCAGGAACTGGAAAGCCAGCTGGTGGCCAGGGGTGCCAGCACATAGGAATGAGGAAACAAATACGTTCCAGATGGAGCCCCGAGTTGGGATATGGGGTCTATGCAGAAGAGAAGGCCATGGAGGCTGAGCAGTGGAATCCAGAGTTCACGAAGGGCAGTGAGAGGAGCCGAGACTCCAGGGATCGGGAATTTATGGCACAGGTGAGAAAACAGGGACGAGTCATGGAGCTCACCCTAGGACTCATCTGCTCCCTCCGAAAGAGAATCCAACACACCCGGACTTCTAAGCTTTCTCAAATCCTGTACCCAAGGGCTCCCACCTCCTCATCCTGCATCTGGGTCTGGGGTGCCCTCTCTGGGCATCTTCCCCCCACCTTTTCCCTGCCCAGGGTGTCCACTCCCCCTCCCTTCCTGGGTGCCCTCCCCATTCCTCTCCCCAGAGTGTCCACCCACCCTCCCTGGGGCACCCTCCTCCAATCCCTTCTCCCGAGGTGCCCACCCCGCTTCCTCCCTCCCCGGCACGCCCCTCCCCCTCACTTCCTGGGCACCCTTCCCAGTGCCTGGTACAAAGTGGGCTTATTAACAACATGGAGTGACTGCCAGGGTGACTGATGCTCGAAGGTATGAGAAGAAGCCCAGGCCAGGTAAGTGTCCCCACCCCAGCGACCTTGACTCACCCAGGTGGTTGGGGGCAAGGGGCAGAGCCGCCACAGAAGGACGGGAAAACTGCTCCCGGCGGTTCCTCTGCTGCTTTAGGTTCTGGAGTGAGGGGCAAAGGGAGGGCAGCGGTCACTCGGGCCCTCAGAGACACTGTCCATCTGAGCCCCCCCCCCGCATGCACACATACAAAGGACTCTCACCTCTGTCCTCACTTCTAAAACAGATTTGAAGTCGTTGGACATGGAGGCCAGCTTAGACTAGGAAAAAGAGCAGGTGGTGTGAGTACCCAGAGTGATCTGCACCCCACCACGTGTTCCCACTCCGCTCGTGCCCCTGCCACACCTGCAAGGAGACCACTATGGTGTTGGAGTGGGTCTGCAGGTGCCGCCCGCTCTGGCTCCCCTTGGCCCTGACGAAGTCCTGCAGCTGTGCGATCTGCTTGTTGAGGCTGCTGATGTCCTAGTGGGAGAAGCACCGAGAGGCCGGGGTGAGCAGACGCAGCGCGCCCCCCTTAACCCTGGATGCGCGCCTGGAAGCGCAAGCACCGAGGGCTGCGAGAAGGGAGAAGTGAATGGGAACCAGGGCATGGAGCTGGGCAGAGGCCTCCAACCAGGTGTACTGGGCAGGCCTCGCTACGGTGGGAAGCATGCTGGGCCAAAGCCTGGCTCCGTCACTGTTACTGCTGTGACCCCGGGCCGGGCCAGCAGAGTTTCCTCATCTGAGGAATGAGGGAGCTGGCCTGGATTGGGGAGCAGCCCCGGAGATCACAGAGCCAACGTCCTGATCTGAGAGACGGGGAAATGAGCGGCAGTGGCCCTGGGGCCCCTCCGGCAGCACTCAGGCCTTCCTCCAGGAGCAGGACACAGAGAGGGACAGGAGGAAGCTGGGGGACCAGAGCAAACGCCCACACTGAGTCAGTGCCAGGGGAGGGGGGAGGGGGGGGGGGGAGGAGGGGGGGGGGGGGGGAGGGGAGAGGGAAGGGGGGGGGGAGGGAGGAGGAGGGGGAAGAGGGGGAGGAGGGAGGAAGAGGGAGGAGGAGGGAGGAGTAGGAGGGAGGAGGGGGAGGAGGAGAGAGGAGGGAGAGGGGGGAGGGAGGAGGGGGAGGAGGGGGAGGAGGAGGAAGAAGAGGAAGAAGGGACCGGGCCAGGGCCTGCATCCATAGCCCACCTGTTTGATGATGTAAGTCAGCTCCTCAATCTCCACAGCCTTATCATCAAACAGGGACTTCCTCTTGGCCACTATAAAGGGAAGAGGAAAAAACCTGGGAGTGAGGACACGGAGAAAGGGATGCCCAGAGGTCTGGCCAGACACCTTGGCCTGGGCTTCCAGGGCCCCTGCCCTGGGCGCTCAGGCTCAGGGCACTCTGACCCTCCAGTCAGCTGGGTACTCAGCACACGTTCCCTCCTCTCTTCTGGCCCAAACCCCACCACTAGGCCGGTCTGCAGCTCGAATCTCTCTCACACCACCACCACTCCCCGGCCCTAGGCCCATTTCTCTCCTCCTCTTGTCTCATCTGGACTATTGCGACAGTCCCTTCACTAGCCTCCCCGGGGACCTCCTCCCCTGTCCAGTGGTCACAGGTGTGTGCATGTCCCTCGATGGGTTTCAGAGGTTTTTATGCCATCAGCATACTTTGCAGGCTGAGTGCCGTTCCTCCCCTGAAGCCAAACACAGCCCCTGGACTTTTCCTAGGACATTCCCCCTCTCTTCCACCTTGGTGCTTTGCCCAGGCCTGCAATCCTCTCCCTCCTTTCATCCCCTCCTTGGGCTCGCAGGCTCCTTCTAAAGTTCAGCTCAAGGGGCCACCCCAGAGAGGCCTTTCCCTGCTTCCTGCAGGGCTCTCCGAGCACACCATCACTGTTTATAATTAGTGTAAATCTGTGATCACACTCAATGTGCCACCACAGTAGAATGGAAGCTTGAGGGTGAGGATGCTCACTTTTAAACTGGTCCCCTCTGTGCTCAATAGTGTTACCGGGCATACACGAGGTACATTAAATACATGGTTTTTCAAGACGGGGTTCGCCCTCTCTCCTCCAGGCAGGAAGTGCAGGGGGACTACTGCTGGGCCCGTCCACATTACTGACTGGCAGAGGTCAGCTCCATTTCCTACATGGACCAGTTTGCCCTACTTGGGTCCTGCCCCAAGGAGAAGGGAGGCTCCCACAGTCCCTTTAGGCTAACCCCCTGTGAGGACTCACAGATTGTCAGCTTCTCCAGCTTGGCAAACGTGTTGCTCAGGTCCTTCCCAATGCGCCTACAACAGAGGAGGAGGAGGGAGGGGGCTTGGAGGGCTGGGCCCTCCTACCTCCAGCCCCCTCCACAGATAAGGCCCCAACAACCCCCCCCCCCCGCCCCCGCCCTCTGGACTCCCCCAACTTACTTGGCCATGAGGGTGAACTCACTGCGCTGCCGGACAGCACTCAGGGCCGTCGTTTTGTTTGTCTGGAGTCCATTCTAGAAGACGACATCAGGAAGTGAGCATCTGGAGAGCCCCCCAGGCCTCACTGCTTGCTCCTCAAACTCCCGAGCAAACTGCTGCTCTCATATGGGGTGGAGGGGGTCCCCGGTCCCATTCCCCTTCCCCCCGACTCCCTGTAATCTGCAGATCTCAAAGTCCAGACAGGCTTTATGAATTAGGCGGTGGCCCCATCCCAAGGGGCAGCAGGCACTGCTGTCTGTACTCAGAACCTGCCCTTTACTTTAGGGATGGCCTTTTACACATGGGACAGCCTTTCCCTCCGTCTGCCATCTCACACAATGATCAGATCTTTAAAGCTGGCTCGCCGCACGGGACAGCTCCTCCCCCAGGCACCTCGTCCACCCCTTGTGAGCCCCTCGCTCCCAGGCGCCCTCACCTGGCGGCTCTGCAGGGACTTGCAGGCAGACAGGAACTCCTGAGTTCGGTCTCTACAGGACATGGTGTCAGGAGGGGGACCCGGTGAAGGGGAGGTGGTGGTGGTGGGGATGCTGCCGCTGAGGCCGCCGCCAGCCGCTGCAGGGGGCAACACCTGTGTCTTCGAGAGACCCAGGTAGACTCCCTGATCCGTGTTCTTAGACCCGTAGCGTTTCCTCGTGTTCATTTAGACGCATAACCTCGGACTGTCGTGGGGGGTAAACCGTCATTCTCTGTCCTCTACCTTCCCCCTGCTGCCCTTCCTACTCTTTGTGTTCACCCCAGGAAATCACCTCCAACCTGGCAGGACAAGGAAAGACCAAAGAGAGAGCTTCTTTCCCCTTCCCCCATTTAACGCTGACTTTACGGGAGACAGAAGAAAAGGTCCACGCTAGATTCAATCTGGGGGGAAGAGGAGCAGTCACAGGAAGGAGAAGAGTTCCCATTCCAGAGTACTCAGAAGCTCTCTGTATTAGTCTCTTTTTACAGACAGGGAAATCGAGGCTAAGACTTGGCCCAGATCCGATCATACAGTAAGAGAGGAGTCCGGACAGGAACCACTTTCCATGAAATCACATGGGCTCCCTGGCCTAAGAGAGGATGGAGGGACAAAAGAAGATGCTGGGGCCAGGTCCTGATCCTTGACCGGCCTCCCCCTTCCTGTTCTTCCTCCCTTCCCTCCCCACGCATTCCACTCCAACTAGCCCAAGGAAAGGGAGGAAAAACATAGGATGACGAAAAGGAACAAGATGGGAAAAAAGAATAGTGAGGGTAGAGAAGATGAAAAGGGGGTCAAAGAAAGGATCAGGTAGAGGGAGCACAGATCCAGGAAGGGGAAGAGACTTGAATTCCTTTCTTTTACAGATGAGGCAACTGAGGCCCAGAGAGGGTACGTGACTTGCCCGGGTCACGCAGATGGCCCTTTGAAACACTGGGGCTCTTGCTCCAAGTTCAAGGCTTTTGTGCTGGACATGCCAAAGGAAGAATAGGAGGAGAAATCTGAGGAAAGAAGAGAATAAAGATAAGGAAGTGAAAAGGAAACAGAAATCAGAAAAGAAGAGTGAAGGAAGAAGAAAATGCAGAGAGGAAAGAGGAGGACCAGAAGAGGAAAATCAAAGAGAGAACAGGGGAGAAAAGTAAAAAAGGAAACGGAGGAGAAAAGAGGATGGGGAAAAGGGGAAGGAAGGAGGAAGGGAAGAATGGGGAGAAGGAAGAAAGGAAATAAGCACCGATTAAGTGTCGATTATGTGCCTGGCACTGTGCTGAGCACTTCTGAAATGTTTCATCTGATCCTCCAACCATCCTAGGAGGCAGCCAGCGCTACTATTATCTCCATTTTACAGATGAGAAAACTGAGGCAAACAAAGGTTAAGTCACCTGGCCGAAGTCACACAGTTAAGGAGCGTCTAAAATCCAATTTTAACTGAGGTCTTCCTGTCCCACCTCCAAGCCCGGTCCCTCTAACCCTGCCACCCAGCTACCTCACCTGGGACGGCAAAAGCGGGAGAAGGGAAAGAGAGAAGAGAGGAGGAATGGGGGAATCAGGGAAAAGTAAAAGAGGAGAAAGAACAGATGGGAGAAGGACAAATGGGAACCAGAGAGGAGAAGAGAAAGGAAGGTGAGGGAGAGAATTTAGAGAGGGAATGAGAGGGGAGAACGAAGAGAGAGGAGGAATGAAGGAGGAAGAGAGGGCAAGAAGGAAGAAGAGAGAGAAGGAGAACGAGGGAAGAAGCAGGAGGGGAAGAGGGGAAAGAGAGAAAAGAAGGGAGGGAGGAGAGTCAGGAGGGCTGAAAGAGAAAAGAGGAAGGAGGAAAATGGGGGAGGACAAAAGGGGAGGGGGAGCAAAAGAAGGAAATTGAGGAGATAAAAATTTTTAAAAATTGAGGAGAATGGGGAAGAGGGGAGAGAGTAAGAGAGGGGAATGGGGAATGAGGAGGGGGAGAGATGGGGGGGCTGGAGAAGGGTGAACTTAAAAGGGGAGGGGGAAGCGACGAGAGGGGCAGGAGGAGAATGGGGGGAGGGCGAGGGAGGGGGGCGGGAAAGAGGATGTGGAAAGGGCTAAATAAGGGCCGGAGGAGGGCTCAGGGGTGGAGAGAGCAGAGGGGGGGGTCTCTGTTCCGGTGCTCCCAGGAGACCAGGATGCTGCTCAGGGGTACCCTCCAAAATGTTTATCCGACATCGGAAGTCCCGCCCCGGACTGAACCCCGCCCCCTCCGCGGCTTTGGGTAACGATTGGCTGCCGCCGCTATCTTTCACACCATACAGCGCTCTGATTGGGTAGGGGCGGCATCGCTCACCGGCGGCTGGACCGGCAGAAAGTCTCCGGTCTCCCCAGTCTGGTCGTCGTCCCCCCCCATCCCCGCCCCACCGGGAGCCGGCCGCCTTCGGCCCCAGCGTCTTCCCCAACCTCGTCAGGGTCGTCTCCTACCTCCGTGCCACTGCCTGCTGCCGCTGCTTCCGCCGCCTGGGCTGATACTGCTTCTTCCCCGGGGACGGAGCCAGAGAAACGGGACCAGAGACCAGAGGCTGACACGTCACCTAGGCGCGGCCCCGCCCCAGAACGACGACAGCGCGTCACCACGCCCCCTCGCTGACGCCGAAGGCCACGCCCCCGCAACATCAGTCAGAGCCACGCCCACTCTCCCCCGAGGACACCTTGGCCACGCCCACCCGCCGGCTTAATCCTACTCCCAGGTCACGCCTCCCTCCTCTACGGAAACCCACGGCGCCACGCCCCCTTGGGTTGCATCACTGCCTCTGGAGGAGCCTTAAAGGGCTCGCCCCGCAGATTCGCGGGTCCTCCCATTTCACCTAGGGGAAACTGAGGCCCCCGGCCCCGCCCCCCAGGCCCTCTCCCCGCACGCCGACAGCGAGGCAGGCACCATCTCTGGGCTCCAGGTCTCTACTTTTATTCTCTTCTCCGGGTGGGACGGGGCGGGGCGGGGCGGGGCGGGGCAAGGGTCCTCCGGGGTCATCGGTTCCCCCGGTCTTCCTCTTGATTGGACAACTCCTCCTCCTGCTGCTGCCGCTGGCGCTGCCGCTCCTCCTCCGGGCCCTGGGATTCGGCGGCGCCGAAGTCCGGAGAGCTCGGGAGGGACTGAGATTCCGGGAGGGACGGAGACTCCTCGAGGGATGGAGCTTCTGGGAGGGAAGGAGACTTCGTGATGGCCGCAGACCTCAAACTGGACACTGTCCTCACTTCGGTCGACTGCTTGCGCGCGGAGCCTCGACGGTTGAACGTGGACAGCCTCCGCCAGATCACCGTGATGGTCAAGCTGTCGTTGGACTTGCGGGACGAGCCGTAGCGGCGGGTGCGTCCTGCGGAGCGGGAAGGGGGCCGGGAGAGGCGGGCTGCGGGGGCCCCCGGACCCCACGCTCTCCCTCTGCGCATCCCCGATGCCCTCCTTCTGCACATTGGCTGCGGGGGCCCGGGACCCCAAGGCGGCCCCCCCGGGGCGCTCCCGCCTCGCTCTGCCCATCCTCGATACCCTCCTTCTGCACACTTACGTGGGGGTGCACTCAGTGCCTCCACAAGCTGGACTGGGGTGCAGTCCAAGGCCCTCCTTTCTGCTCACTGGGCTGCAGTGCGTCCAACCCCTCCTTAGACCACCCTTTTAACCGGGGTCACCAGGCATTCAGTCCAGGGCAGCCCCACTGCCCATTTGCCATCCAGCCAGTGACATCGATCCCCACCAGACCCTACCCACCCTACCTTCCATTTCTGCCTTGGAGTAGATCTCATCATTACTCTTATTCTTGGACTTGGCACAGCCCATGACCCCACCACCGGCCTGGCAGCCATCACTCTGCCCCGATCCCTAGGCTTTGTGACGTCAGAGCCCTCCCCCACCCCCACCCCCCAGCTCCCCAGCAGGCTGCTGCCTTAGGACCCCTGACTGGAGCTCTCCCAAGGGCCAGGCAGCTGACATCCCATCTACTACCAAGGAGGCAGGGTCACAGAAGAATGGTGACGACTTTATTTACAAAGAGGAGACAGGTGAGGGGCCACCCAAAGCCTGTTGCTTCTTCCCCCCAGGCTGGGCCCCCAGAGGCCTCTGTTTCCTCTTGGCTCCAGCAACCACCGGCACCAGAGAATCCCACAACTCATCAGTCTCTGTTTCTTCATAGGGCACTGGGGCAGGATCTCTGGGCTCATCCTGGTGAGTGGAAGCCAGAGGGTTAGGGTTTGCCTTCTTTGGAGGGAGGGGGAGGATTATGGGGAGACTGCCCCGAGGCACCGGCCCAAACTCCTCATCTCTTAGAAGAAAAGGTCTCCAGGCCAGGCTTCTCTAGTTCCCCCACCACACTGCTGCTGCTCCTCCTCCTCCCTCCCATTCACAGCCCAGATCTGCTACTCTTACTGTCTTGAGGGGTCCTGGGCTAAATCAGCGTCCCCCCTTTTAGGTCTCCATTTCCTCCAGGATGAGCTGATCACCAAGATCCAGCTCTGGAGCCTATGATTTCAAATGACTCATAGCTTAGAACTGGAAGGGAATTGAGAAGCCTTCTAGTCCAATGCCCTCGATTTACAAATGAGGAAACCGAGGCACAAGGAAATTATGGGAAGGGAACAAATGTTAAGCAACTACTATGTGCTCTAGACCATGTGCTGAGCAGTTTTTATAACTCTCATCTGGGAGGGATGGGATATCATTAGCCCCATTTTACTGTTGAGGAAACTGGGGCTAATGGAGGTAAAGTGACATGCTCGGAGTCACCAGCTAATCAGTGTCTGGTTCCTGACTGCAGGCCCAAAGTCAAAGGGGCACTAAGGACGGGGGGTGGGAACCCAGGTCCTCAGGTTCTGGGCCGATTCCCCCTCCACATGAGCAGCTTTGTCTCCCCTGCTCCTCCTTCCCGAGCCCTCAAAGGGCTGCCTCGCCCTGCAGCTCAGAACACTGCCACCATGGCTCATATTTGCACCCCAGCCTCCATTAGACATGACGTGGTTCTCACCTCCCAGTTGTCCCTCCCTGACAAGAGGAGACAGTTCAGCCGTGACTTCAGATAAACCTGAAGGAGACAGTGGATGGAAGTGAAAATGGGGAAAGGACTCCTAGGTCCCTTTGTCTCCCCACCCCAGCCTGAGCAGGTATGGATGAGCAGGACAGTACAGGGACTGGGTGGAGGGGAAAGAGAAGTCCAGGTGAGGGATGGGATTGGGGGGGAGGGGGATCACCTTGTGCTCCAGCCCTCGAGGTTCCCGAAGTCGATGTACCCGTAGAACGCGGTCCAGGCCACAGGAGGCAAGAATGGGCTGAGTGGGATGGCACTGCAGCCCCCGAACACTGCCTGCCAGACCCTTTAAGCAGCACACCAGGCGCCCTAGGGAGGAGATCAGGAAGGGCCAAGGCTGCTGCTGCTGCTGTTGCCTGGTCTCTTTCCCCTGCCCCAGTCTCCCAGGTTCTCTGGACCCTCCCCCAACTCACCTTGCCGAAGGTCAATTTCTGCTAGCTGCCCATGGGTGTTCCCCACCACGACAGAGCTGTGGAAAGAAACCAGAGGGCAGGCAGGGATTGACACGAGCTTGTCTTCGTCCCCAGCGCCCATTAACATCCCTGCCCTCATCACTCACTTGCCCCCTGGAGTGAGGGTCATTGCCATCAGGGGATACTCTCCATAGGTGGTTTCCAGCACAGGCCGCCGCTGGGGGGAGGCTGGGTCATACACTCGGACCTGGAAGGAAATTGGGACGTGAACGTGGCGTCAAGTCTTTCTAACTATAGGAATAAATGAACTTTCCTAATGTAATAAATAGCATTCAAATCTAAGAGCAAACATATGTAATGTAGAAAAGCCAGGGGCCTTTCCAGTCAAATCAGGGGTATTGTTAGTCCGTTAGTTGTGTCTAACTCTTTTGACCCCATTTGAGGTTTTCTTGGCAAAGATAATGGGATGGGTTGCCATTTCTTTCTCCAGCTCATTTTACAGATGAGGAAAACTGAGGCAAAGAGGATTAAGTGACTTGCCCAGGGTCACCAGCTAGTAAGTGCCTGAGGCCAAATTTGAACTCATGTCCTCTGGAACTCCAGCCCTAGCCCTCTATCCCCGGCACCACCCAACTGTCCTAAAGCAAAGATGCTTATTATTAATGGCACTATTTAACACTGTGCTACCAATGCTTGCTATAACAATAACACCTCCCCCCAAACATTAAAGGAATGAATCTAGACAAAGAAGATAAAATTACTACTTTTTGCATATAATAAGACCAATTTACCAAAAGTCTCCCAGAGGCTACAAATCTAATCATAAAACATACTGCAGAAATAAAGACATCTAAAAAAATTGGTGAAACATTCATTAGGGGCGGTTGAGGCCAGTATTATAAAAAACAATACACTACCTAAATTAATTGACAAAGTTGCACCAAACCCCCAAGAGAATATGTTATAGACTGGGGGGAAAAATTAATATGGAAGAACAAAAGGTCAAGAATTTCAAGGATAATTTTTGAAACAAGGCAAGGAAGGAGGTCCATCAGTACCAGATCTCAGCCATATTACAAAGCAGTAATCATTAAAATGATTTGGTACTGGTTTAAAAAAAGAGGCTAATAAGTGGTACAAATTAGATATATAACAAACACAGTAGCATGGTGTTCGATAAACCCTGAGATGCCAGTTACAGGAGGAAAAGAACACAAGCTCCAAAGAGATCCATGACCTCGCTATAATAAAAAAAAATTATAATAAAAATCACACAAATCAGGAGAAAGGAAGAAATTACCTTTCAGATGTATGGATGACTACACATGTGATAAGATCACACAAAATGACAATTTTGATTATAACAAATTAAAAAGTTAATGTAAAATTTAGAAGAGAAACAGGTAACTGGGTAAAAATCTAAGTTTCTCCGATAAGGTTCTCATTTTCCAGATGTATAAGGATGTGCTTCAAATTTATAAGAGCCATTCCCCAACAGATCAACACTCAATGGATATGAGCAGGCATTTTTCAAAGCAAGAAATCCAAGTTATCAACAATCATACTTTTGAAAAGTCTGAAATCACTAGTAACTGGAGAAATGCAAATTAAAGCAGCTTTGAAGATCTACCTCACACTCCCAGTGACAAAGATGACAAAAGAGAAGATCTGTTTGAAAGGCTACGGGAAAACCAGTGCATGTACATTATTAGTGGAACTGTGAAATGGTCCAGCTATTGGGGAAAGCAATACAGAACTATGACCCAAAAGTTATCAAACTTTGTGTACTCTTTAAACAAGCTACACCACTATCAAAGAAAGTAAGGAGAGAGGACAAGGGTTTATGTGGACAAAAATATTTATAGCGACTCTTTTCATAGCAGCTAAGAATTGGAAACTAGAGGGGGATGGCTAAAGAAACTGGCTCCTAAATGTAATAAAAGATACCACATAAGAAATAATAAAATGGACGGTTTTGGAGGAAACTGGAAAGGCCTTTATGAACTGATACAAAGGGAGAACTAGAAAAAATTCCAAAAAATCATTACGGATAAAAACAACTCTGAAAGAGTTTAGAATTCTGATCAATGTACTGATGAACCACTAGCCCGAAAGAATGAAGGTGAAACACACCAGTCACCTGACAGAGGTTGAACTGAAAATGCAAAGAAGTGGCCAGGGGGCAGCAGAGTGGATAGAGCACCGGCCCTGGAGTCAGGAGGACCTGAGTTCAAATCCGGCCTCAGACCAAACACTTGACACTTAACTAGCTGTGTGATCCCGGGCAAGTCACTTAACCCCAACTGCCTAGCAAAAGCCTAAAAAAAAAATTACTTGTTATTAAAAAAAAAAAAAGCAGAAGCTATTACCCAGTAGATAAGTAGTCAAAAGACAGGAATAAACTTCACAAAAAAATTGCCAGCCCTTCACAACTACAGGAAAGAATGCTCTAAGTTACTGAGTAAGGAGAAATGCAAACCAAAGCACCCTGGAGTTTTACTTCATAGCCAGCAAACTGACAAAGATGACGGAAGAAGGCGCACTGGTGTACTGCTGGTGGAGCTGAATACAACCATTCTGTAAAGCAATTTGGAACTGGGCTAAGGAAGGTCATATCCTTTGACCTAGAAATTCCACTGCTGGACATATACCCCAAGGTAGTCACTGACAAAAATAAAGGCTCCTTATCCAAAGAAAGAAAAACCACATCAATGACCATTGACTGGGGAATGGCTCAACGCATTGTGGTCCATGAATGTAGTGCCGTAAGAAAAGAGCGATGTGATAAATGCAGAGACATAGGAAGACTTCTACGGATTGATGCAGAGCCAGGAAAACACCACACACATGAACCCCAAAACAAAGTGAACATTGTAGAATCATAAAAACCAAGCTGGGCCCCACAGAAGAAAGAGAAGACACTTCCCCATCGCCAACTCCTGTACAAGTGAGATTCTGGGGGCTTCAGACAGTACACGGAACATCTGGGTTTTGTTGGCTTATTTTTTGTTATAAGGGAAAGTTTCCGCGGCCAGGGTGCAATACAGGTGATGTAAAACCTAAAGTTATAAACAATAAAAATCTGCTTCAGTGTAAGGGGCTTAGCAGTCTCAGTACACAAACTCACATTCCAGGGGATGAAGGAATTTAGGTTTTAAGAGCCAGGGAAACTCAATGGAGAAAGCCACATGATACAATGTTTTGATGTCAAAGGCCCAGAGTTCGAATCCTGCCTCTTACACTAGCAGTATGGGTACAGCAACTGCGAGGACTCAGTTTTATCTTTGATAGAATGAGGGGGCTGGACAAGAAGGGCTGTGAGGTTCCTCCCGAGCTAGATGTAAGATTTCCCATAGGTTTTATTATCTTTATGCTGACCCCGCCTCTCCCTCATCCTTCAGGCTCTCAACAGTTGTCTAGTGGGAATTTCTAAATGCATAGACAAAGACATTTCCAACTCGATGTGTCCAAAACAGCACATTACCCTTTCCTGAAAACACTCTCCTCTTCCAAAATCCTCCATTTTCCCCAAAGGCATTGCCTTCAAAAAACCCCAACCCTAATGCCAATCCCACTCCTCCCACCCCACCGGTCCCAATGCTGCCCTTTCTAAGGCCCTGCTATGTCTCCTGTCTGACTCCTTCTCTCACCTGTACCGTCGCCCTCAGGGATTCCTCACTGGCCTTCCTGTCTGCAGTCTCTCTCCCCAGTCATTCCTCCTCCAAATGCCAAAGTGCTTCTGCCTAGACAGGAATCCCTACAGCCTCAACAATCACATCAAAGCTCCTGTTTGCCTTTTTTTTTTTTTTTTTTTTTTTTGCTAAGCAATGGGGTTAAGTGACTTGTCTAGGGTCACACGGCTAGTAAGTGTCAAGTGTCTGAGGCTGGATTTGAACTCAGGTCCTCCTAACTCCAGGGCCTGTGCTCTATCCACTGCACCACCTACCTGCCCCTCCTGTTTCCCTTTTAAAGCTCCTCACAACCTAGCCCCTTCTAACTAGGTCCAGGACCGACAAACTGGTGCCAAACTATCTCCAATCTCAGTGCGCTGGCTCGGCCATCCTCCAAGCTTGGAATGCCCCCCATTCCCCACTTCCACTATCGAAAGGAAGTCTCTGATTCTCCCAACTGGTGCCTGCCTCCCTCCCTAACTGGTACTTCCTTGATACTTGTATCCCCAAATTAGCACAGTGCCTAGCAAACAGTAGGAGTTTAATAAATGTGTGCTTGATTGGCAGATGAAGAGCTAGACTGCTAGCTGAGCAGCAGTGAGGGCCAGCAAAAGTGCTCAGAGTACAAGTGGTCATCAGGCTAGCTCCTGCATCCAGGCAAGGCCCAGGGCCTGTCGTTCTGCCTCTCACCTGGCGATGTCCAGTGCACGTGACGATCTTCTGTGACCCTGAAAGGAACTGGATGTCCTGGTCCCAGATGGGAACCCGGAGATTCAGCCAGTCATTGCGTACCTAGGAAGGGGACACGGGGTCAGACCCACTTCATATGAGTGTCTGCAGGGTCACTGCTGCGGGCCCAGCATCCAGCTTGACATGCCCTGCCCAGAGCCCATCACTCACATTCTTAGCCCTAAATACGGGCTCCCGGGATGATGTCTGCAGGTCCCAGACCTTCAGTGAGTTCTCCTTCCCACCTGTGGCCATTATGTGGGGTCGATCAGGGTCCTGGCGCATCCTGCACACACTTGGGCCCACGCTGAGCTCTTTGATCTGTGACAGAAGGGAACACAGGGGAAGGTGGGGGATATTCCACCCAGCATCACAGTATTTTAGGGCCCAAAGGGAGCCCAGAGATCAGAGAAGCCAGGGCAGGATGCCTGCCGGGGAACGTCTGCCTCCTCCCAAATGCAGAGGCCCCATCGCCAACGGCTGAACTTCCTAACACAACAAGGCAGTCGGGGGGAGGCAGCAGCGGTGTCACTGAGGTTTGCATTTGGAATGCAAGGATCTGGGTTCTAAACTGCCACCTGATGTCGCTGTGACTAGGCAAGGTCTCGTCCTCTCTCTGGGTCTGTAGAACGAGCAAGCTGGATTCAAGTACTTCCTTCAAATACTGGGGGGGTCTAGCCTTACTCCCACCTCCAAAGCCAGCCACGAGTCTTCTGGGGGGATATCAGCAGAGACAAGTCCAGCCTGCCGTCAGCCCTCACCACTCACTCTCAAAAACTGTGGGGAGGGGCAGCTAGGTGGTGCAGTGGATAGAGCACTGGCCCTGGATTCAGGAGGACCTGAGTTCAAATGTGGTCTCAGACAATAACACTTACTAGCTGTATGACCCTGGGCAAGTCACTTAACCCCACTGCCTAACCAAAAAAAAAAAAAAAAATTGGGGGGAAAAAGTCTCACATGAATCAGGGCAGCCCTTTGGGAAAAGAAATTTGGAACTCTGTTCCCAAAGTCATCAAACTTTGTGGACACAGACTCAGAAACAGTACCAGTATACTGGTCTCTACCCCAAAGAGATCAAAGAAAGAAGAAAAAAAATATTGATAACCGCTCTTTGTGTGGTGGCAAAGAACTGAAAACTATGGAGATGTCCATGAACTGGGGAATGAAATGGCTTAACAAATTACATTATGTGGATCTAATGGACCACTACTGTGCCTTTACAAATGATGAAACGAACAGTTTCAGGGAAGTGGGAAGACTTCCAATACTGGGACATGGAGTGAAATAAGGAGAACTGGGAGAACAATTTATACAATCAGAACTAAACCCTAAAGAAAATTAACTTTGAAAGGCTTAAAAAACTGATCGATGCAATGACCTACCAACCCCAGAACCCCTGAGGACCAGTAACTAAGCAAGCTGTCCATCTCCTGATGGAGAGGGGAGGGACTCAAGATGCAGGAGGAAGCAGGTAAATTGTGCAATCTGGTTTGCTTGACTGTGTCTGTTTGTGACAAGGGCTCTTACCCCCCCCTCCAAATTGGGGAAAGAGGAGACTTTTGTTAATTGAAAAAAAAAATTCTATTCAAAACAAAACAAAACAAAACAAGGCCACTATTCCAAGGCTGATGGACTTACCACCTATCAGACCCTTTTGGGAAAGAAACATGGCTTTATCTCAAGTTAGGCATAAAAGGGTCTATCTTTACAGAAACACTCATGGCAGCATTATCCGTAACAGTAAAAACTGGACATGATCCACATGTCCAACAAGTGGGGAATGACTGAACAAACTGTCGTGGGACACGACCTCATTTTACAAAATGAACTGTGAAGAGCAGGAAGAAAGACAGGAAGACAAATGATGTGCAATAAAGAAACAAACACAAGCGCTGAGAAGGACGACAATGACAATGTTCACAATGAGAAATAATAGTAACTGAGAAATGCGCTGAAGAAAAACATTCTCAGGAGAGGAAACAGAACCCCAAATGACTGGGCACGCTGCACAATTTAAAATTACACACAAATTCCACAAATAATGGAAATTTTGAGTTTCACGTGTCCTTTGTTTTGTTTAAACATCTGATATTTGCTTCTAACAAACTAGACCCAAGCCCGACTGCCACCACAACCACTTTCCTAAACAAATAAAGGAAAAGAAGAAGCCCTCACGTGTTCGGAGGAGTCCTCAGGCCAGACGCGGAGAATTCCAGACTCCACACAGGTGACGAGGCAGCTGCAGACACAGTGAAGTGGAGGAGAGTGAGGGTAAAAAGAGGTGACAGATGACGCCCGGCTGAGCCCCCAAGGAGAGCAGGTTCTGCTGGCTGGCGCCCCCCCCCCCCCCCCCCCCGTGTGAGCCACACGCCTGCCTCCTCTGCCTCTTCTTCCTGGCTCAGTTCCAAGAAGGGCTCCCAGTGCACCCCCCCAAGCCGTATGTGGTCAGAGGGTAATCGGGAAGCTGGAGTGCTGGGCAGGCCCAGGACCAGGATCTGCTGGGGGTAGGGGGTGGGGTTGGCCATTGAACTCAAAGCTGTTAAGAAAAGAGGAGAGATTGCCCAGACTGGAGCCAGGATGGGGGCGGGGAGGGACTGGTTTGGGAGCCCTTACCCATCATGCTTCGCAAGTCCCCGAAAAGTTCCTTCTCCTCCTGGACAGCACCGGCTCCTCAGGAACTTGCCCTCCTCTGTGCTGAAGGATTTGACAGTCCCATTGGCACAGCCGATCAGGATCTGGGGGGAGGGGGGGCGCAAGTGTCTGAGTTGGATTCAGTTCACCTGGACAAACATTTCCCCAGGTTTCCTCTTGGGGCTCTGAATCTTGGGAGTTCCTATTTAAGCACCTACTGTATGCAGAATTGCTGTGCATAAAGCCATGCTAAGATGGGCAGGGTTCCTAACTGGCTAGGACACAAACACGGACAACTTGAACACATAATACGAAGGCTGGGACTGCTTCTGTAAATGGGTACCCAACACAGGTCACGGCTTCCCTCCACATTGGAAGAGCAGCTCATCACGGCTGGAAACAACCACACACATCACCTGGAAGTCAGCTTGGGCACTGACCATCAGTGGTTGCACTGATGCCTGTGAGCCTTAGCTCCTGGCTCTCCCAGGCAACCTCATACTGTAACTACTTTATGTAAAGTACTTTGCAAACCTTACAGCCCTTTATAAATGCCAGCTCTTATTCCTCATGGAGTTATTACTCTGCAAAACTCTAACTGTTATCAGTGTTGCTTTTATTATTATTTATACTTATATCCCCAGCACCAGCACAGGGTCTGGTACACAGGAGGCAATCAAAAAATACTTGTGGTTGACTGCTTTTGTGAAATTTTACAAAAAGGTAAACTAAGGCACATTTCTCCAAGCAAGAGTATGGTTTAGGAGCAGCTAGGTGGCGCACTGGATAGAGCACCAGCCCTGAGGTCAGAAGGACCTGAGTTCCAATCCGGCCTCAGGCCAAACACTTGACACTTACTAGCTGTGTGACCCTGGGCAAGTCACTTAACCCCAACTGCCTTGCAAAAAAGAAAAGGAAAAAGAGTGTGGTTTATTAGCGGGGGTGCTACCAGACAATAAAACAGGTCAAACTCCAGCATCTCGGGTAAGGGATCATGACTGGTTACATTACAGTGAGCAGAGTGCACACTCGGGGGATGGAGCCCACCTCTCTCCATCTCTGAGGAATGCTTTTGGGAATACATGGGTCCCAGCTGCATCCCAAGGTCACTGATAGGGACGCAGGGATGTAAACTCGCTGGCATGTGGGGATTAGATAAAACCACCTTTTTAATGGACAAATATGAGGTTAAAGACGGGACAAGGCCAGCGAGTCTGCTTCTCAAGGATAACACACCAACCTTGTAGGTAATGCTGAGAGAACAGTTTTTCTTTACCTGACAGTGGTTATGGAAAAGCTTAAACCTTCAGTATCTAACCTCCTCGAGGGAGGCTGAACTTTTGAACTCATGAGCTTCTATACTCAGAGAAAAAGAAGAGGCTTAGGTTTGTTACATAGAATACAGAATATCATTACATAGAATACAGAATATCATTACAAAATGGTCAGTTACAGAGAAACATCAAATACAAGATACAAACTCACTACTAGTTTTCCTACTTGATCTGTACAGTGGATGGTAGGCAGGCCTTTCCAGCCCCTTGGATTAGCTTTCTTCAAGAGGCCAGGGTAGGCTCCCACTACAGCACCAGATATCAGAGGCTATCCGTGGGTGATAATGCATATAACCCCACCCAGTAAGAGCATCCCAGAGGAGTAGAACAGAGGAAGGCGGAGGGGAGGCCTGGGCTCAGGAGGTCATCATCTCACCCTCTTCTCTCCACCTACCACCCTATTCTAGCTCTCATCACCGTTTACCATTAGACCTATCTAGGCTGTCCTTTCTACAACCATCCAAATGATCTTCAAAACATTTAGAACCTAAAAGTACTTTAAAAGGCCATCTAGTCTAACTCATTTTACAGATGAGGAAACTGAGGCCCAAAGAGGGGAAAGAGGCTGACCTCAGGACCATGAAGGTAGAAAGTGACAGAACCACACTTGGAGGTCAGGTCTTCTTTTTCAGTCCTGTGTTTTTCCAATAAATGGTGCTGCACTGCCCTCTCCTCAACAGCCTAAACGACCAAGAACTCAGCCCAGTGTTCAAGGCCTTCCACAACCAGCTCTAATCCCCTCTTCCAGCTCTCTACACTCAGGCCAAACTGGACTACCTGCTGTCACATAATTGGGCACCTGCTCCTTCCAGGCCTTCCCGACCTGGATGTAAAGTCCAGTGTTTGGGTCTCGACCTCTCCCTCCCTGTTGGACAGTGGAGAAGGTACTTATTAACCTCATCAAGCCTCAGTTTCCTCACCTGTAAAATAGGGGTGACAGAAGTTGACAGGGAGGATCTCTAAACCTAAACCCCCAGATCCTCCTGGAAGGGCCCCACACTCACCCCTCCCTTAATTTTCTCAAATTTAAATGAGGACAACAGGCACATTACCTACATCACTTTACAAATATCTCACTTTATCGACGGGGAAGCTTTCACAATGCTTTGCCAAGTCTGAACAAGATAAGAGTCGGCTGTCGTGTTATCATTACAGTACCATTACCTTCCCCGCCACAATACTCAGCGGAATGGGGGCGACTGAAAGGAGGGGTGCCCATTCTCAATACAAGACAAGGCACAGGGGACGTGGGGGACTGGGAGCCCCAGCCCTGCCTCAACTTGCCCCGGAGGGAGCTTCCTCCCAGGTGAAACCCCTGGCGAGAGGGGGAGGGGCGGAAAAGGCCGGGGTTCGATAGGGAACTCCCCTCTCCGGGCAGGTGGCTTCCTCGGGGGTCCTGCGCCTCCTTCTGCGCCCTGGTCCCCGGGTCGTACAGCGCGGAGGATCCCCGGGTCCGGAGCCCGAAGGAGTCTGGGGTAGGGGTGGGGATCGTCGTCCTGGCGCCCCCTCCTCGTTTAACCCACGAGGCAGCTGAGGCCCCGGAGCGCCCACATCCCAGGAGGAGGAATCCCGGCGGCCTGCCTGGGGGCGGGGCCGCCCCTTTCCCGGCCCCGCTCCCGCATCAGCTCCCCTCCGCACCTCCCCCCACCCCGTCCCGCCCCCAGTCGCCCCGAGCCTCACCTGGCTCTCGGCCGCGTCCGCCCAGCACAGCGCGCTCACCTCCTCCTCGCGCCGCGGCCTGCCCGCCGCCTCCGTGAAGTTCACCGCCTGCTTCCGGACCAGGTTCACGCCTGCGGCGGGAGAGCGCGGGGCTGAGCGCCTCGCCCCGACCCGGCCCCGGCCTCGGCCTCCCCCGCACCCGGCTCTGCCCCGCTCACCCTTCAAGATCCCGGTCTCCGAGCCGACCCACACGTGATTCCAGCGCGCCGACGCCGCCATGACACTTCCGCTCAGCGACTTCCGGGGAGGGGCGGGGCGGGGGGAAGTTGAGGGCCGGTCTCCCGAGCACCGCTTCCGGCCCCGCCGCCCAGGGCCACCGGATGCGACCCCAAAAGCGTCCGGGTGGGAAGCGGCGCTCCTTGTAAGGAACGTTCCGGGAGCAGGACTATAAAGTGCGCCACAGGCCGGGAGCGAGCTCAGAGCTGCGGGAGCGAGCTCAGAGCTGCGGGAGCGAGCTCAGAGCTGCGGGAGCGAGCTCAGAGCTGCGGGAGCGGCGACGCGAAGGTTCAGTGTTTGGCGTGCCCAGGCGCCCAGGGTTGGGCAGGAATGCAGTTACTGGTGGGCGGCCGGCCCGGCCCCGGGAGGCCCCCAGGCTGCGCCAAGGGCTCTGGTGCCTCCTGTTGGGCCTCCGGAGACCGAGAGAGGATGGCCTCGGCCCCCAGCTCCCGCCTGGCCCCCCGACCCCAGAGGCGCCCTGGAGCACTCGGCCCAGCGGAGGCCGGTGGTCAGGGAGCGGCTGGCCGGGATCCCGTCCTCTGTTCCATGTCGGGTGAACCGCGCCAATGCCCCGGGATAGGAAAAGGGGCGAAAGAGATCAGCGCCCCGTGTGTCCGTAGGGGTGCCAGATGAAGCCCCAGCGTGGGCCGCCCGCTGATAAGAGTCGTGCTCCCCGTTCTCAGAAGTGCATGCTGCTTGCTGCCCTCTCCCTACCCCCCCCCCCCCCACTGCTATGTATGTGTGGGGCTGCCTGTTCTGCTGGCCTCCTTATATGCCAGTGAAACCTGGACAGTATACCAGCGCCATGCCAGGAAACTGGATTGTTTGCATCAGAATTGTCTTAGGAAGGTTCTGCAGCTCACCTGGCCAGATAAGGTGCCAGACACCTAGGTCCTTTCTCTAGCTAAACTGCCAAGCATTCAAATTCTACCGCAGAGAGCCCGGCTCTGATGGGCTGGTCACTTTTGTTCGATCTCCAAAAATGTTTTCCTAAAAGACTATTTTATAGAAACTTCACATAAGGCAAATGCTTATATGGAGGGCAGAAGAAGCCATACGAGGACACTCTCAAAGTCTCTGAAGAAATTTGGAATCAGCTGTGTGACTTGGGAGACGCAGGGCCACCCTGCATGGCCTGCCCTCATCAAAGAAGGTTCCAAGCTCTCTGAGTGAAGGGGCATTGCAGCAGCTCAGAAGACCCTGAGATGCGCAAATTTAGAGGCATCTCCACCCCAAATGTTCACTTGGACCTGTGATAGAGCCTTCTGATTTAGTATTAATCTGATCAGCTACAGTGAGACACACTGTACCTTGACCCCAACATAGTGATGTCATTTTGGTCCTCTTCGAGAAGGAAGGACAACCAACCAACCGTGTGTGTGTGTGTGTGTGTGTGTGTGTGTGTGTGTGTGTGTGTGTGTGTGTGTATTTAAAACAGCGTCATGCTTTCCTGTAGTAGCCCCACTCAGCTAAAGATCACAATGGCAGAGGATGGTGGGAATGTTCATTTGATGCCCCACAATGAAATCAGTGCCTTTGTCTGATACCAAATCTTCTCACCCCATTCAATGTCCAGTCTGGATACATGAATAATAATTCCCCAGTACACAAGTAAGCAAAGGATCCCTCCCTCATTTAAAAAAAAAAATTAAGGCCACCCCTGTGGAAGTAATGGAATATATTTGACCCTGGTTGGTTTTGCAGACTAGCCGCTATTTAAAATAATACTCAGCACATATGTCAAATACCTCTCTACTCTTTTGACAGCCAACATAGGCTGTCATAGTCTGTTGTCAGCCATATTGCCAAGACACCATTATTTACTCTCTACTCAATATATTATCTGACAGTCTCACCGCCAGGACCAGATGTTAAATGCTGCCAGGACTTAGTGTGCAAATCCTCCTTTCCATAGAGCCATTTAAATAACTGGCCAGGTCTGGTTGAAAGTCACATTTGGTTCTATTCACATGGATGACTAAGCACAGTGGGAGAGTTGACAGAGATCAGCTGTCAGAAGCCTAAACCATTGATGGCAGCAGATTCATTCCTCTCATTTTATAGGAGAGATACAAGGGACCAATACTGGCTCTTTAGGGGAAGGGTAGCCATCTCAGAATCTTTGAAATTGTTCTGTCCAAGAGTTTAAGGACACTCTTGAGGACCACAGTGATCTTAAGGTGGGAGGACATAGCAGGGGGGATGAAGGATTCACGGTGCCTATTTTCTACCAAGTAGCCAATTTAGACTTGTCCAGGATGTCTAAGTCTGGAGTCATATTAGTTATTAAACCTTGGCAGAATTTGCAGTGTGGAACCCCATGAGGATTCCAAAGGAAGAGGAGCCGTTTTCCTTAGACATTCATTACTCAGGCCCCCTGGTTTTAAATTTGGAATTGAATGGGGAGCATCCTCTTCTTCCAAGTCTTTAATCAACCATGACACCCATTTGTCTCCTTCAAATGTAATCCTGCCCCAAATTCCCTTACGTCGTCCAGGATTTTGGTCAGGGACCCTGGGGTGTCGGCTGCCAGGCCAGATTGTCTGTGTACGCTCAAACGTTGATTTTCCTAACATACAAATGATACCCTCCTCCTGCCTTAGTCAGGGTGCTTATTGTCACCTCCAGTATTAAGTTAAGAAATGTGGGGCTAAACAGGGTAGCCCTGCCTCAGCCTCTCCTGAATGCTAATCCTTGGTGCAGCTAGGTATGTGGTGGGTAGAGTCCTGGGCTTGGAGTCTGGAAGACCTGAGTTTAAATGTAGCCTCAGACACTGGCTATATGACCCTCAGCAGCTCAGTTTTTCCATCTGCAAAATGGGGATGATAACAGCACCTACCTCTTGGGGGTGGCTGTGAGGATCAAATGCTATGATTGTAAAGTTTGAGTCACTTCATAAATGTTAGCTATTAATCGTTATTGGTGTAAGGCCATCTCTAGTGTGCATAGAGGTCTTATTTTCCCAGTAGAGTGTTTCTATGAGGATAACTAGCTTCCTCGTGCAAATACTACACACATTTTCCTTTTATTCTTGGTTTCAGCCAAGATGGATTACAATAAGAAATCATGTTTGATGCATGAAACCTTTTTGCTTCCTGCTGGTGCCTCCATTTCTCATACTCCAAACAAAGAGTCTTTTAGATAGGACAGACGCATAAAACCTCACTCTTGGTGGTACCCAGGAGTAGAGGTCTCCAGGTGGAGGGGAGACTCCCATTAACTTTTTTTTTTAATAGATTAAAATAGTTGTGGGTCACTGCTACTTCTTTGGAACATAGTTGTATTTGTGTGCTCTCCACCTACCCACGCCCTGATCCCCAACTCACCTGGCTACATGGCCCTGTCCCTCTCATTCTGACTCAGCCAGTCAGTCAATCAGTAAGCACTTATTAAACATACACTGTGTGCAGGCACTGGGGAGAAGACTGTCCGTTTTCTCAAGGAGTTCACTTGATGGAGGTTGGGGCAGACAACAAGGCGTAGGCTGGAAAGGTTGGAGATAAGCAGCAGAGGGAAGATCCTAGCAGTAATTAGGGGACCAATCAGGAATGAGGAAAGGCTTCTGGTCTACAAGGAGGGGTTTGAGCTGGACTGTGAAGGAAGCCAGGCAAGTCAAGGGGCAGAGATGAGTCCAGGCATGATCCCTGGATGGGTGCAGTGTCCCTGGATCATGAAAGAATGCAGTAGGGGTGAGTAAGGTGTAAGAAGACTGGAAAGGGGGCAGCTAGGTGGCACAGTGGATAGAGCACCAGCCCTGGAAGACCTGAGTTCAAATGTGGTCTCAGACACTTGACACTTACTAGCTGTGTGACCCTGAGCAAGTCACTTAACCCCAATTGCCTAAGCAAAAAATAAATATAAATAAATAAAAGAGCTCAAAGGGGAAACACCTAACAAGTGGGGCCTGCAATGGCCAGGACAGGCAAAGCAGACACAGGTCCGGTGTCAGAAGAGCCTGGCTGAGAGCATTCTTTCCTCCAATAAGAAAAAGTTTAAGATCAGGACCCAAACAGCTTCTAGCTGGCAAAGAGAGGTCAGCTGGCCTCATCTGAACCGAGATTTTGAAGCCCACACTGTTGCTGCTGAGAGCAGGCCTTAGGAAACCAGGCAGACCAGCTGCTCAACTGAGAAGAACAGCCCAAAATCTCCGTTTTTAATAAATGCTGATGGATAAAAGCATGACTGAGTCATGGTTTATGACAAGGCACTGGGAGGCATGGAGGGAGGCTGGTTGGTCTTTGAGAAATTAATCAGGGCAGTTAGGTGGTGGAGTGGCTAGAGCACCAGCCCTGGAGTCCAGAGGACCTGAGTTCAAATCCAGACTCAGACACTTGACACCAGCTGTGTGACTGTGGGCAAGTCACTTAACCCCAAATGCCTCACAAAAACAAACAAAAACAGAGACAGAGATTAATCCCCCAGCTGATATAATAACAGAAAGGGCAGGTAAGAGTGGTCACCAAGTATTCATGTGTTAAGGAGGAGGCAGAAAACTAACTGTAGGACAAATATTGTTGTTGTTCAGTCACGTCACACCCTTTGTGACCCCCCCGGACCACAGTAGGCCAGGCCCTTCTATCTTCTATTATTGCTCAAAGTCTGTCCAAGTTTTTGGTCATTGCTTCCATGACACTATCTACCCATCTCTTCCTCTGTCAACCCCTTTTCCTTTTGCCTTCAATCTTTCCCACCATCAGTCTTTTCCAGTGAGTCCTGTCCTCTCATTACGTGACCAAAGTATTCGAGCCTCAGTTTCAGTACTTGTCCTTCCAGTGAATGGCCTGAATTAATTTCTCTAAGTGTTGATTAATTTGATCTCCTTGCTGTCCAAAGAACTCTCAGAAGTTTGAAAGTATTGATTCTCTTGTGCTCAGCTTTCCTCATAGGCCAATTCTCACAGCCATACATGGCTACTGGAAAAACCATAGATTTGACTCTACAGACCTTTGTCAGCAAGGTGATGTCTCTGCTTTTTAGTCTGCTGTCCAGATTTGCCATAACTTTCCTTCCAAAGGGTGAGTG